GGATGGATGGATGAATAGATGGCTGAATGATGGATGGATGGATGAATGATGGATGATGAATGGATGTAAGATGGATGAATGGATGGTTGATGGATGGTTGATGAATGGATGATGGATGGATGCTAGAAGGATGTTGGATGGATGGATGATAGCTGATGATGATGGATGAATGGATGGATGATGAATGGAAGAATGATGGATGATAAATGGATGGATGATGGATGGAATGGATGATGGATGAATGATGGAAGAATGATGGATGGATGATGAATGGATGAATGATTAATGGATGATAAATGGATGGATGATGGAAGGATGATGGATGAATGATGGAAGAATGATGGATAGATGATGAATGGATGGATGAATAGACGGCTGAATGATGGATGGATGGATGAATGATTGATGGATGAATGATGATAGATGGATGATTGATGAATGATGGATGGATGCATGATGAATGTATGGATCCTGAATTAATGAATAGCTGGCTGAATGATAGATGGATGAATGGATAATGAAAGGCTGAATGATGGGTGGATGAATGATGACGGATGTAGAATGCCAGATGGATGGCTGAATGAAGATGAATAGATGGATGAATGAATGGCTGAATGATGGATGGCTGATGAATGAATGGATGAATGAATGAATGATGGATGGTTGGCTGAATGATGGATGATGATGAATTACTGATGAATGGATGATTAAATGATGAATGAATGAATGATGGATGGATGATGATGGATGAATGTTTGACTCAGTTACAGAGTGATCAGGTCGTGTAGCTGTGGCGGCCATCTTGAATTGAACGGTAAAGTATCTTCGGTCCGTCTCAGATGGTCCACAGGTTCAGAGGATATTTTGCTAACAGACGGGCAGAAACATGATGCTCTCCATCACCGGCGGTGGATAATACTCCCTCATGACATGATGAAGAGCACCATGACACCCAGCAGAACCTGGTCCAAACTCACAGGAACCCACTTCATCTGCAGCCCCTCAGAACCGAGCCTGGACCTCAGACCCAGCGCTCTCTGGTTCTACTGGAGCTAGGGTCCGGCAGAAAACTGATCTGGTTTGGACTTTCTCCCACGAAAAAACTTGTGCAACGTAATGAGATTCTGGAGTTTAGTTTATCTGCACAGGAAGTGAAGATTTCAACAGAACCACCGAGTTCCGAACAGAACCAAAGAGTTCCGAACAGAACCAAAGAGTTCCGAACAGAACCAGGACTTTAGCACAGAACAAGACTTACTTTACTCCTGACTTCAGCAGACAGTCCGTAGGCTGGTCCTTTGTTGAAATGGGTCATTTTCTGGGTCTAATCCTGGGACAACAGTCAAAAGTTCTGCTGATGGAAAAAAAGTCAGAACCTGAAAAGAACAATCGAACTCAGCGAACCAGATTTTCCCACAGAACCGAAGATCCGAGAACTGTTATAAAAAAAAAGTCTCGTCCAACCCTGTTGGTCGACAGCAGCCAATCACAGCGCAGAGACGTCAGAAGGAGCGCTCCTTTTCTGTTAGCCGGGCGATGAACCGGGCAGAAGTGATGGACGGGAAAAGGAGGAGCCCACAGACATACTGTACCGTATACTTATGTACAGTATATGCTGTACTGTATATGTCTGTGGAGCTGCCTCCTAAACAAGCATCGGGTGAAGTCACCTTCAATCAGACACGACCAATCAGAGCGATCTGGGTTTATTACGTCATTAATAGCCGACAGAAAAAAAAACATATTACAGTGTCTGCTTGGCTGTGGAGGACTTTTGGCCCACTACTTCTAGTAGTTTAGGGTCAGGAGCTAAAACTGCGTTTTGGCAGGTCATATTTATGTGACATCTTTTTATTTTTGAATCTTAAATGGGTTCAAACATCACAGGTCAATACAGACAGAGCAGCAGCAACAAGTTAGACAGTACAAAAACACTGTGTGTGTGTAACAGATGGTTTTAGACTATTCTTCCAAGGAAAACAGATTTGGGGTATTTGTCCCTGAGGGACGGCCACTGCACAAAGAAATAGTCTGACACCAGGTACAGGATCTGCCCGGTCAGGGACAGCGTCTGCACTCGGCAAATGCTCTCCACGTACACGATGAGGACTTTCTTCACTCCCAGAACTCCGAGCAGCAGACCCGCCACACACGGAGGAATGCAGGTCCCTGGGCCATTACACAGCACCTGAACAAACACACAAACAGCACATTTCAGCAGAGTGACACAAAGTTCAGCACACGCATGTGCTTCAGCTGCGTCCTTGTTGTGTTTATTCAGGTGGAAGCTCCACGCTCGCTCCAGCTGGTTGGGTTCTGACTTTACTGATCATCATCATCACTTTACTCTATAAGTAACTAGAGAAACTACATTTCCTGTGAAAATGCAGTGTGAATGCTTATTGCTGAAGAACTTGCTGAGAAACAGCTGAAATTAGCTAAAAACATGCTGAATGGAAGAACAAGCCCAAGTTAGCAGAAGAAAACAGAAAGAACACGTTTACTGAATTATGTTTAAATGAGCAGAAATGAGCACAAAAATTAGGAAAATAGCTAAAAAGCTGAAATTAGCTAAACAAATAGCTGAAACATAACTGACAAGACAGAAATAGCTTAAACTACCAGAAGGAAATGGAAGGAGCTGAAATGAGCTAAAAAAATGTGGAATTAGCTGAAAAAGCTAAATTTAGCACAACAGCTAAATAAATAGTAGCAGAAAAAGCTGAAACCAGCAGAAATATGCTGAAATCAGCATGAATAAGTTAATTATGCTGAAAGTAGCAGAAGTTACCATGAAAAACTTGAATTTATCTGAAAACAGCTGCAATTAGCTAAAAATGCTAAAAGAATATGTAGCTGAAAAGGTAGAACAAGCGTAAATTAGAAGAAGGAAGTGGAGAGAGCACAGTTTTACTGAATTAGGCTGAAAAAGTAGAAAAGAGTGCAAAAATATGGAATTAGCTGAAAAAGCTAAAATTGGCATAAAACAGCTAAATAGTAGCTGAAATAGCTGAAACTTGCAGAAAGGAACATAACAAGCTGAAATTAACAGAAAGAAGTTAGAAGAAGCACAAAAATGTTGTAATTAGCAGAAAGAAGCTGAAAGAAGCACAAAACAGCTGAAAAACAGCTGAGATTAGGATTTTCATGTAGGGCTATGATTCAAGGATTATTGATGCGTTCTGATTATCCTGAAACCTACACAGCTTATTTCACCTGCCTCACAACATATGTCCAAAAACACCATCAAGCAGAGGCTGCTGACCAACCGTTAGCATTGCTGCTAACTTAACATTAAAAACACCATAGAAGAAGAAGCTAACCCAATTAGCATCATGTTCACCACTTGTAATTTATCCACAAATTTAAAAGTTTCAAAACCATCATTAAAGACAGTTTTGTTCTGACATTTTCATCTTTTGTTTACAGACTCGTTTTCTTCAGGGTTCAGTGAAGAAAAACACGGAAAAGGCAGTTCTGCTGCAACAGGAAACTACGGTAATTCCAACGGGACGAACGGCGTCACACAGCAACCAAAATCCAAAGCTTTGCCGTTCAACACAACTCTTTCTTCACCACGACCGACCGAAGCAACACCCTCATTACTGAGGACGAGGCCCCCCAACACATCTCCAGCTCCATCACTCAGGAACAAGAAGTCCTGATACCTGAACTCCTCCACCTGAGGTAAAGCTCCGCCCACCACCCAGAGGGAGCATTCAGCCCGTTTCTGCTCGAGAACCACGGCCTCAGACAGCAGAGCAAAGATCTGCAGGTTTACCTCCAACAGTTTACTGAAGGAAGCAACGCTAGAAACACCCAGTTCTTCTTGTCTGGATGTAAAACAAACCCTGAGAACCCAACAGGCTGCAGGGTCATGTCAGAACCAGGAACCCTGAGAACCCAACAGGCTGCAGGGTCATGTCAGAACCAGGAACCCTGAGAACCCAACAGGCTGCAGGGTCATGTCAGAACCAGGAACCACCGGGTGTTTAGTGACCGACTAACGTTTGAACTGAACCGAGGAGCTGAAGTGTCTGCCTGCCAATAAACACGCTAATTACATGTTCTAAAATGAAAAGGCAACAAGAACCAAAACACGTCTTCTGCTTGTGACTCACGAACACCAAGAAGGCGCCTCAGAGATCTAAAGG